GAGTCTTTTGGGCCTAAATAGCACTACTTATTTAACATTTAAAAGTATCTATGGTATTGCTAAGTGGAATTGGCAATATTATTATAAAGTTATTATGCGATGGTGGATAGAAGTGACGGTAGATGGAAGTGTTAGGGGAAGGGCAGACCTAGATTGATGTGGGCTAGTGTAGTAAATAGAGATATGAATCTTCTTAATTTGACTAACCAAATGGCCGTTGATAGAATCAAGTGAAGAAGAAAGATTCATATACCCGAGCCCATTTGAGGGGACTTAAGACTTGGTTTGGTATTATTCTAAAGTTATTAAGCCCGTTGCTCTCTTATTTCTTTTGCTTGTATCCTGTGTGAAGAAATTTCCATACTAGGTGTGATTTCTCCGTGTTCTCCCTCCCCAAAAAGGAGCCTATTATTTGACTTATAAGTACATCAATTTGTTTGTTTTTCCAAGCCAATAATTACATGAAAAAGCTATACGCGCTTATTTTCCTTTTCTTTTTTTTTTCTTTTTTTTTTCCCTTTTGTTAAACGATTGAGTTTTAGCTTGGCATGTATAAGGTGTATTACACAACACATTGATAATCTGTAGTTTAATGTGATAGCCTAAAAAGTGATAATGCTAAAGATGGAATTACCTTATCATATTTTACATGGATGCAAAGGCATCTAATAGTTTAGAAGACGTTGACGTGATATTGTAATCCAATTGAACTAAAGGGAAGTGTTTGTAGGATTCTATTATAACTATGCGAAGGTTCATGCAGTTAGTACATTGTGTTGCAGTGAAACAACAATTTCATTATAAATCCAATAGAGAAGAGATATTGAGATTGATTAGTGGAAACTTATGAAGTCAGAATTGAACTTGCCAAAAATATTGTAGTGCTAAAGGACATGAAAGTTGTTGTATTAAAGGATATGATATTAAAAATTTAGGTGATTCGTGATTGTGGAAAGCTCAAGTTAGTGGTAGTTGTAGTTGTTGACCATAAAAATAAGAAGCATGCTGCACAGTGACACTTTTTTTAAGGTCTTCGGTAAATGCAAATTTTCTCATTAAATGTAATGAATGTTGTGTTTGTGTTGTTCACACCATGCGCTATAGTCCAGCTTTACTTTTATTCAAAAGTGGTGCTGTTTGAGATGAAATTGCTGTTAAGTTTTCCACATTATTGGCCATCAACACAGTTGTCCATCTTTGGAAATTGGACATCTTAATATCAAACCGGAGTGTATTATGATGAATTTTAAAAAATAAAATCTAAGAAATGTTATCTCATGTTTTTGTAATTTGTAAAAGTAAGCTAGCTATGCCACTGCGTAGGAGGATATAATGGGAAGAACATTAATGAATCGACTACAAGAGATCAATGGATTATTGCAAACTTGGATGATTCTATTTGGAAAATTACCTGTAACATTTGTTTTCTTGTGAGAATCACTACAAGAAAATGCACTTTGGGCGACTAAAGTTTTAGTCGCCAAAAGTAAGGTTTTTAGTCGTCGAAGCCTTTTCCCGACTAAATATTTTGGTCGCTGGATTTGTCGCAGGAAAACGGTAGGGGAAGGTTTTGGCGACTAAAAAAAATTTAGTCGCCAATAGTCCTATAAGTGGCTACTAATGTTTTAGTAGGGAAAAGTACGAGGTATTGGCGACTAAATATTTTTCAGTAGCCAAAAGTCATAAATTGGCGACTAAATATTTAGTCGCCAAAAGTTTTCAAATAAAATTAATTTTCATTTTCAGCGACTAAAACTTTTAGTTGCCCAAAGTATCATTTATTATTAGCTACAAAATATTTTGTCGCCAAAAAAAATTAATTTTCATTTTTTTTAGCTACTAAACTGTTTAGTCGCCTAAAGGCTCATATATTTTTGACTACTAAATTTTTAGTCGCCAAAAAATCTTTGGTTTGTTTTTGGCTACTAAATTTTTAGTAGCCAACAAGTTTTATTTATTTTTTTTGGCTACTAAACATTTAGTCACCAAAAACTTTATTTAGTGTTATTTTTATTATTATTATTAATTTCTGCACAAACTGTATTTATTTCGTGCAACCTACACCCTGTATATAAACAAAACAATACATATGTCTATTTCTATTTCACTTTCAACCATCCAAAAATTTGGTCTTGTAACATCAAATTCTATACAAACCAAATATAATCCAACCCAAAATAATAATTCCATACAAACAGATAATCATACAAAAATGATGTCCTCCGTATACAAAAAAGAAATATCCACTAGTAATCTATACCACCATAAAATAACTTCATCTCTGTTGGATCAACAACTATTGCAATAATTGGTAGTGGAAAAGATTGAGTTTGTAAAAGTCTTCCAGTAACAAGGTCCCATACCTACAATACGAAAATAAGTCATTTCGAGAAACAAAAATACTCATGCTAGGAAGATATTATTATGAAACATTTAACATAATTAAGTAACCTTGCATGTGCCATCGAGGGAGCTTGATAAAAAAATTGAACTTGAGCCACTTGATGCAGTTAATAGGCCCATTATAGAGGATGAAAGCTCCAACGAAAAATTTAGTTTTAAAGCCACAGTCCAACAATTTGTCTTAAAGCCACAGTCCAACAATTTGTCTCGTCTACCAAACTTCCACCAAACAATGTGATTACAAAGTTAGTTATTTATTTTTCCTGAAAAATAAAACTAAACGACATTCAAATACAAACATTAAATTGTCGAAGAAACGAAGATTCACTTTTTTTACCTGATCCTAGGCCAAATAATGCTTATGCCATCTTCTAAACCAGAAATAAGAAATGAATCATCGTTGGAAAATGTCAAGCAAGTCACTGATTTTTTATGTGCGCACCAAGTCCTGACCAATCTCCCATTTGACATCTACAAATTACCATGACACTCAATATTTGAAAATAATGACTACAAATAATATATACAAATTAAGCTAATGGCCCACAAAGACAACTATTCAGTAATTTTTTATATTGTGATCAATTTAATGTAAAGTATTGATGAGATTAAAAAAAAATGATCTTTGCATGTGGGGCTACAAAAATATCATAAACACATCATTTTGGATATATTTTCTATTTAAACTGTCTATTTTTAAAATACTCAAAAAGTATGGGATACTTGTAAATAGGGAATCATCTCAATTCACCCCCAATTAATCCAGACAGACACTAGAATTAGATATTCGACATGCACTGAGAAAATTTGTAAGCACTAACACAATATTCACATAATGAGAAGATGAAGTGACATATTTTCCCTCATTTATCACTAATATTTATATGATCCTAGCATTCCTTGTTTTGTATTGGCATTTGTAACCATGCAATATTACAAGTTGCATTTTCTCCAGATTCTATAAAATGAAAATAGAATAATCCATGTTCACACATGTTGAGTGGTTTTCCAATTAAGTGCATTTGATAATGAATAATCATCTACCACAGAAACCTGAACATGGCTCGTGCATTGTGTATCCTCCATATCTAGCTTCTATTTGTATCTTTTTTGTCTCTTGCTGTGAACTTTCATTATTGGGTTGGTTACAATCTCAAGTTCGGTATGTTAGTCCAATTTGTTGCTGCTACAGTAATTTATCAACAAAATTCCCAAGGATTTGATAGGTGTTTAAGACTATCAAGTTTTACTACAAACAAATAAATTTCATTTAATGGCCTCTAATATTTAATTCTCAGACTTCAAATATTGCACAAGAGCTGCCTTTCATCACCACTTAAAATCCTTGTTGGGGGATATTTTAATATTCTCTGTATTGACATGATAGACAAGGAAGAGATATCTTAACATAACCTTTGCTAACATAAATTTATTAGTTCAGATTTAAATTATGAGGCAAAGGACGGGAGGAAGAGGAAGAGAGAAGAGAGAAGATTTAACTTGAGAAGTTGAGCCATGTTTTTGGTGAGGAAATTCTGCAAAATAGATAGTTTCCGATACGGAGGATTCATGACATGGTGTCTGAAAATATCCACAATGACATATATCATCATTATTTAATTATAGTTTTTTGGCAGCAAACATCTATTTTTGCACGAAAATAGTATGATTTTAACCACAGGAATTAAAATCACTCATTTTACATTCCTTACAAACCCCATCCCAAAACATTTGATTTTTCAAATAACATGTCTTACAAACTTGATAACTGTTGGGTTCAACTCTCAAGTGCTTTCACATCAGTCATTCAGTAGCTAAAGAAAATAAAAGATTTAGTTTCACACTTTTAATTTTATCCAATAAAGCTAAAGAAAAGATTTGTTTTTTAGTTTCTGATGACTGGATTTTGGACTTACTTCCTTTCACTGGAGCTTGGTTTAAGATCCCTGTCACTGATGCCACGGGTTAAACTCCTAGCAAGCTTTAGTTGCTTGTGCTCAGAAGGATTTATCTTGCCCACCTCTGGGTCCCACACAGTAACCAATTCATTGCTTGTAGTTATAGGAGATGGTATAAGGAAATTTGCACCTGACTCCTACATGTCCAACAATAATGGATGGAATAGAAAAGTCTTATTTGAGTCTTGCATGATCATGAAAATTCCCTCTGATTTGAAGGGGAAGTTTTATAAGATCTAGTCAGCTATGTTCTATGGCTCAGACTGTTGGCTAGTTGGAAAACATGTCCAAAAATGAAAAAAGACACAAACAAGAAATGAATATTGTCCTAGGAAGTAAGAAGTGAGAGGTATAGCTAACACAAGAATGTTGAGATGGAAGAGTGGTATTATGAAAAAAGACCCAACAAAAAATGAATATTGTCCTAGGAAGAAAGAAGCGATGCCAAATTGTTTAAAAAGAGAAAAGTTAATTGACATGGTTTTGACCATGTCCTGCACAAATCAACTAACCCACAAACATGGAAGTGAGTAGGGGCCAAGAAAAAAGAACTTGATTGCTTTGGATTTCAGTGGAAGAAATTGCATTAGAATTTTGACATCAAGTAGTAGAATAAACAAGCAAAATGCTAACTTGTCGTTGAACAAAGCCAAAGCTTGATTATCTCACATTCAATATAGAAAAGCAATATAGTTGAAGAAAAAAAACTACTTACCCCAAATAAAATAAATTGAGGTAAGATAGATATCAATCATCCAAGTTCAATAGATAGAGGTAAAATACTGTAGGGGCCATATGACTCACCAATTCAGATACATATAATCCATCCCTTTTTTCACTTTCAAACTCATGATTTTAAACTTGACCTTGCTGCTCTAATCTATTTGTTTCTCATTTTTTTCTGGATGCTCCATGAACTTGAACACTGCCAATCAAATTCAAATACAGAAAGGAAGTCAAAAAAAAAAAAATCTGCAATCTAACATACAGTTATGAGAAATGAGCCGTGTTACATTAAAATATCCATGTTTCTCGATAAAAGAAATTAAAACGGTTATACGAATGAAATTTATGCAACATTCAAAAGCTATGCACATTCAATATGGATAGACAATCTATAAACAAAACGAGTGCCCCAAATTAAGAATCAAAATCAATACCTTGAAAGCAACATCAGACCTGCTAGTGTTCTTAATCCTAACAGCACTTCTGACCTGCTTACCCAGTTCTACTCCAAATTTGGGTAATCAATTCAATCAAATGCCCAATTCTTCCAACCATACCAAACCACTAACCAACATATCAATAGATGAAAATTTACGGTTAGAAATATTCAAGACGTATACATAATGATGGAAACAAAATTGGGTCAAGTTGATCAAAGAGATATTTTTAAAGTTGAAATAACATATAACTTGATCAAATCAGCAGAATCATTGCTCAAACTAAATAACAGATAAGTTGATCAAACTATAGTGGTTCACAGAGTCCTATGGTTTGAGTAAAAATAAACTCCAAGAAAAAATACAACACAAAGCAACATTTTCCAGTGGCTTTGCTGCAGATTTAAGCTAATCAAACAGACTACAGCTGTGGTATTATCCTTCTCTGTCAAATCCATAACACAAAACTCAAACCCATAAAACAAAAATCAAACCCATTTTGGACATGAAGAATTTCATAATTTCATAGAAATCAAACACTTCAACCAATGAGCCCTTAACCGAAATCAATACAAAAATAAACTAAAAAAGCATATAAACCCTATATTAAGGCCTCGTTTGGGAACAGGCTAATTTAGTAACTTTTTGGCTATTTGGCTAAAATATGAGCTAAAAAAAAAACTAGTATGTTTGGGATGACTTTTTGACTTTTTACGAAAAGATGTGCAAAAAGTAGAGAGAAAAGAAAATCTTTGACTTTTTGGTATGGGTTGTTGGCTTTTTGGCTAATTTGGTAACTTTTTAACTTTTTGGCTAAAATTGAGGGTCCCCAAACGAGGCCTAAGTGTGAGAAATGGGGAAATAGGAGAAGGGAGAAGGGAGAGGGGGAGGGAGAGAGAAAGAGAGAGAGAGAGAGAGAGAGAGAGAGAGAGAAAGGGAACCCGAGAGATGGCTTGATAGAGAGAGACAGAACTAGATCGTAACATCCAAGAGAGGACCGAACAGAGAGACAGAGACAAACCTGTGATTTGCGGCAGTGTTGGTGGTGATTTTGGTGTCGGCGGTGGTGGTGGCGACGTGCGACGGTGGGGACGGACGGTGGTAGTGACAATCGGTGGTGAGAGGGCCTCTGGTTTGTGGTGAGTGGTCTGTGTTTGTAAGACAAAATAGATTCAAAAAATGTGTGAAACAGGAGGGCGCGCCAATTCATAAGCTTCCCTCAAAATTTTTTTTTTCTGGCCTACTTTTAGCAACTAAATTCTGTTTAGTCGGCAAATAAATGTCTATTTGTCTAATTTGGCTACTAATTATTCTTTTTTGTCGGAAAATACTAACCATACAACAACTAAATTATTTTTGTCACTGATAGTTTAGTAAATAAGCCTATCTTTTGGCGACTAAAATTCTTTTAGTCGTCAAAAGGCTATATACGCCGACTAAAATCAGAATTAGTAGCCAAAAAAATAGACAAACGCCTACTAAAACCTCTTTAGTCGCCTATTTACATGAATTTTAGTGACTAAATTTTTTTTTGTTGCCAAATAACTAATATATGGCTACTAAAAAACTTTAGTAGCTAAAATGTTAACTATTGGCGACCAAAAGACAGATTAGTCGGTAAAGGTGTGACTTTTGGCGACTAAAAAGGTTTTAGTCGCCAATTTGGTCGCTAAAGGTGCAAATTGTTGTAGTGAATATCTGTAACATTATGGTGGACCACTTTCAAAACAAGCATGAGTTATACATGGAATGCACATTCTTTATTTATGTCAATATTTATTATAGAACCCAAATTGTCTATCTTAGATTCTATAGACTCAACTTTGGTCTCTAAATAATTTTGATTTATTTTTTGATTTTTATCTAATTTAGAAAACCAAGAACACATAATATCAGTAATATTATTTAAACTAGAACACACACTATTTATATTTGCAGACTCTTTAGTAATATGCAAACTATGATCATATTTATTATTAACATTATTTTTTGTATTTCCAAAGCATATTATATCGTTAGAATTAATTGCCATTTTAGATTGTTGTTGGTACCTAAGACCCTCCTAGTGTATTGTCGGGTGCCTAAAACCTCTCTTTATGATCTTAAAGATTTAATTATGGCCAATAGTCAAAAGATCTTAATAAGTATATGGGCTTTGACATACACTAAGCCTATAGGTTTTACAACAACTATAAATGAAACAAATAATTATGAAGATATAAAACACAAAAGATACCCAAAAAACTTAGACGGAATTTTTAATTAAATTATTATTATTATTTATTTTTATTTTTTTTATAACATAAAACACCCCATACAAACTTATATATATATAAAAAATTTATACATAGATAGAAATACTTACATTGCTTGATCTTCTTTTCAAAAGCTCTTCACCAAGCTCTGATACCAATTACAAAACAAAAAAGGAAATGAGCTTTTTACTATTTTTATTATGGTGGAGTTATGGAATTATCATAGAGAAATTAGAGACAAAGGGGAAAGCAAAAAGATGGAGGGAATTTACATGCTTCATTATGTTGGCGTAAAGGCCAATATATAGACTACAAGATGATGAATACAAACAAAAATACAACATAGTGCATGCCTAACTTGGCATGACTTTTACGGCCAAGATTTACAAAATTTCTATCACCCTAGTCAAGCCTAGTCATAGGCTTTATAATACTTAGTGGTTGGAGCTTTGCAACCACATAATCTCGTGAAGATGATGAGGTAGGGGTTTTTCCTCTTTATTTTTAGGTTTTGTCTTCAGATTTGTTTTCCAATGTTATATGTAGAGCATTTGTAAAAACGGCTATTTTGTTCTTTTGCTGCTAAGTGTTTGCAATCTGCAATGTCTTTGTTTTATACAGGGACTTTGTGAAATCAGGCAACTTCTAAATTTCTTGGTTTGTGCATGTCAGGCATTGTATAATTTGGTAAATGAACTAGCTATGACAGTTGCTTGCTTCAAAGTGATTTCCTCTCAAAGTTTACCATATGTATATATTAAACATATAGCTCTATATGTTATACATGTATATTTTGTGCTACTTTATGATAGGCTTGTGAATGAATTATCAGTTAGCATTACCATTAAAGGTGAAGAATCCTTTGTTGGCTTTACTTGTGTTATGATTCAACATCTTTTTGCAATTTCCTTCTCTCCTCTCTTGTTTTTTTATTTTTATTTTTTATTTTATATTGAAGTACATACATTCATGATCTCGTGCCCATGTCTGAACAATGGAGAGGTGAAGTAAATAATCTCTACATTTTCTAATAGTGCATGCAGGCAATATGAATATTTAAAGTTTAATCCATCTATTGCCAATAATTGAAGAGTAATGAGATTTCACCAAAAACATCCCATTGCCAACTCTCCATCTCATCCCATCTGTCCTTTATTTGGGGCTCTCAATCCCCGTAAAGGAATGCGAGGAATTCAACCATTGCTTCCAACTCTGAATCATAAAGGGATCTAATTAAAGGGGTTCTCAGACCACCCCAGAATTGATAATTCTCAAGTATTCTGCTACCAAAGCATTCTTGTTGACGGCAAAACTACCAACAATTGAATCGCCTTATACCACATGCCAAAACTAAATCTTTCTGTCATCACCAATCTCATTTCATTTGATCACATGCTTGAAAAAGTCTACCTAATATCACTCACTTCCATAGACATCCATACCCTTTTATCAACACAAAATTTGCAATCAATTACACTTTTGCACAACTGTCCTTCCTCTGCATATCTATGCAGTCACCTTCTCAACAGAGCTTGATTGAACATCTATCATGAAATAGTGCTTATCTAATGAATCCTTCATGAGTGTGCATAGCCAGGGTTTTGAGTTTATGGCATTCATTCTAATTCTATTAGAACATTTGAAACCTGGAAAACACTGGATTTTATATTGGGTTGTCAACAGATTGAAGTCACGTAAACTTGAATCATTTTGTGAATATTTCATTAATTTGTGAAAGTAAATTGTTGTTAAGAGAAGGCCAAAATAATTGTTCGCGTTGTGCTGCTTTAGTGCTCTAACTCAGCTCCTTATGGGATATATCTTTCTCTTGAGTTTGTAAAGGATGCATTTCAATGGTGTATGTTATTTTGTAAGAAATAAGATTAAGCTGATTACAATTATGACAAATAGTTGTGTGAGTTCTAACACATTTTGTTGGACTTGTTTTATTTGAATGTCATCCCAAGCTTTTGAGACCAGTGCACTGCTAGTTAGTTAAAATCCATCACCTCAAAACTGGGATAGTTATAGATAAAAGTTATTAGTGAAAACTAACCATTTTTATTTCTTTGGTTTCAACCTATTTGAAGCACCCATATTGACAATTGTGTTTAAGGGACTGTACCTGTGGAATTTACCAGGGGAAGTTCGTCCAACAATAATCTAGATCTGTACTTCTTTGAAAGGTGATGCCAGGAGGTGAAATTGATTCAAGTAGTAGTCTAGTAGACATTTGAAAACTTTTGCCCAGAACAATGCCTAGAACTTCTCAGAAGATTTGAAAGCAAATTAAGATTATGATGGTGGTCCTATAAGTTGCAAGGGACATTGGCAGAGTAAGGATGGGCCAACCGACAACTTGAATCTGGGGTATCCAGTTGTTTTCAGTTTCCTGCATGCTTATGCCATGGCAGGTTTGAATTCACAGTAAGAGTTTCTAGGTAATAGTGATTTTTCTTGATATTTTGAGTTGTGTTCTAGAGCTACAACACCAGAGATAGATGGAAATGGTGAAACGTTCTATACCGTACCAAGTGGTACTTTTGGAAAAGTTGTCATTTATCATGGAGTTGACTCTGGTTTACAAATGATTGAATAACTGGGTGAAATTTACTTATTCAAATCAAGAGATGGATTAGTAGGCACATCTCATTGCACTAATCGGGGGCTTCTGCGGTGACTGAGTGGTCAAAGTAGTACGCTAGTTCTGTTGTCTCTATAGTGAACATTGATGCCACTGATCTGGATGATCTTGCTATTTTGTGTGTTGCTACACTGTAAAAAGTGCTGCTTCTCGATGATACTGTGATTTGCATGATCTTGCTATCTGGTATGGTGCAACACTGAAAAAATGCTTCTCCTTGGTGATACTGTAATTTACATATTTCTATTGTCAGCTAAACAAGGTCTTTTTATGTTGCAATAAGTTGAAAATATTATTTTCTTCTTCCAGAACTGATTTTCTTTTGCTGAGAGATGTGGCAAAAATGAATTAACGCACAATTATGAAGTGGATCAGATATGTGGCTTAAGAAATGGTTTTAGGGGTTGGATGGTTCACGGAGCCCTACTTTGGGTCCAGTAATGGTAAAATTTCCACACTGCATAAATTGTTACTGGGTGAAGTTTTCAAATCTCATTTTTCTTGTTACCATCATTCAAGGCTAGCATGTTTTATACTACTACATATTATAAAAATATTTTTTATGGACGTACTGGACTGTATCTGTATCCTTATTTTTTTCAGGTTTTGCTTTATTATCATACCTGTAATGTGCCTTTACCCACACCCATCTTTCCTAGGTTTTCTCCCTGTTTATTAGGTTGAAAACAAGCAGTTTTTGTAGTACAGTATGATCTTCTGCTGGGGTTGAGGGGCTATCCATGGTTTTTGACATCTGTGCTTCTGAACAGTGATGTGGGTGTGGATATCATGGTCGAGGTTTGTGGAAGGGGATTTGATTGGGTCGGGGGGAATTGTTGAGGAGGGTGGGTTTTCGGGTGGGTTCAGGGAAGAGGGTGTGTTTTTGGAGGGATAGATTGTGTAGTGAGGTCTTGTTGGAGGATTGCTTCCCTTTGACTTTTAGCATTATTGTGTATCGGGAGGCTACCGTGGCATCTTGCTTTGAATGCATTGGAGGTGTAGTGGTTTGATATTAGGTTACGTTGGTAGGTTCAGGATTGTGCTTCTGAACAGTGATGTGGGTGTGGATATCATGGTCGAGGTTTGTGGAAGGGGATTTGATTGGGTCGGGGGGAATTGTTGAGGAGGGTGGGTTTTCGGGTGGGTTCAGGGAAGAGGGTGTGTTTTTGGAGGGATAGATTGTGTAGGGAGGTCTTGTTGGAGGATTGCTTCCCTTTGACTTTTAGCATTATTGTGTATCGGGAGGCTACTGTCGCATCTTGCTTTGAATGCATTGGAGGCGTAGTGGTTTGAT